CGGAATTCGGTATGGATTTGAAGGCGATAGGTTGAGAGAATACGTGGAGAAGAGGCTCCGACAGAGCGAGGAGTTTGAAGAGCGCAGTGCTAGACGGCAAGAGGGTGCGCTCCGCACAGAGTTTGACGAAAAGCTCAAGAACTTGAAGAAGATGAACGAGCGCATCGCCAGCAGTAAATAGGAGGGAGCAAAGCGAGATTTGCTTGCCTCACGCGAAAGGACGCCGGACAAGGCGTGGAAGACTTTGCTTACAGACAGGCAGCGGTCAGAGGAGTATGTGAAGCCAGTGGGAGGATCAGACCCAAGGCCCACTGCGTCAATGTAGTGCATGGCGACATCGGTTGGAGACGCTCAGAAGCAGCTGGAGTCTCCGCCGAAGGACGTAGAAGCACAAGAGTTAGAGGCGCAAGACGTAGAGGCGCAAGACGTAGAGGCGCAGGACGTAGAGGCGCAAGACATAGAAGCGCAAGACGTAGAAGCGCAAGACGTAGAAGCGCAAGACGTAGAGACGCAAGACGTAGAAGCGCAAGGACGTAGAATTGCAAGGCGTAGAAGCTGAGGAAATGAGGGCGATACTGGTTAGCACGGAAGAAGTAAGCGGCGAGACTGTGTGGAACACGGAGATTGAATGTAGGTTGTCTGGTCCAGCGTCCGCCCCATGTCGAAGTGGATCGATGACTGTGTTGTGTGCGACAGTCCACAGCGGCAAGCTTCACGAAATCGAGTTGGCCGAAGTGGTGGGCATTAGTGATATTCTACCGTGGCCACCACTGCAGCAGCCGATGACGCGTAGTAAGCCCCAAATCGTTTGACTTGAGAGTTGTTGTACGGCTTTGAGAAGCCCTTTGGTGGGGAGAATGTTGTGAAACCACAATATCTCGAGAGTGAAAGGCCTTCTCGCTTGTGACATTGTGTTCGTTTCAATGCGGGTGTATCCTGACTCCGCCGTACCGCTGATGTTTACGACGTGGTATACGCTACAGGCGCTATGTGCGGTTTGCTGTGTGCGCTGTAGTTGTATGTTGTATGTGTATGCTTTTCTCATATACGCTGTCATTTTCACGCTATAGCTACCTGGTGGTTTTAGTGTAGTTTCATTCGTTCATTCCTTCATTGTTCATTATTAGTCGATGGAAGTTAAATACTGTATAGCGGGAAATTTTCGGACGGAATTTATTTTCGTACGATTTCGTACACGGCCTCTTTTGTACTAAAATTAGTTCCGTACTAAAATTTGTTCATGTGAAATTATGTACACTATACATGGGTACTGCTTGCGAACACGTGCATTTAGCATGCAGCGCTGTACGAAAATAAAACCCGGACGAAAGGTCGAAATTCGGCTTTGTCCGAAAATATTTCCGTCCGAAAATTTCCTGCTATACAGTATACTTTGAAACTCGGGTATTGAGCCAATAATAAAAGTAGAAAGGAAAAGGACATAATTATGGAAACGAGTTAAGAGTAACTCTCCACCACTGTAACTAGATACTATATACAGTCAGAAAGTGCAACAACTAGGCACAAAACTGACAAGAGTACTGAGGCATTCGACGTCCTGACACCTACCCCCCCTTTGCCTTCCCCTATTTGGTCTTTCCATAACCTTGAACCTTCCAAGTTGGAAGGCTGTCGGTTAGCGCTACGGAGATGTGTTGAAGCTAGGTGTCAGGACGTCGAATGCCTCAGTACTCTTGTCAGTTTTGTGCCTAGTTGTTGCACTTTCTGACTGTATATAGTATCTAGTTACAGTGGTGGAGAGTTACTCTTAACTCGTTTCCATAATTATGTCCTTTTCCTTTCTACTTATACAGTATACTGTTGAGAATAAATAGTTGTCCTTGTGCCGTGTGGGGTCGTTCGTTCCTGACACTTTAGAGAACGAGAGGGTTCACAACAGGAGGAGAATGGAAAACAAAGGTCAAACAAAACGACAACAGGAAAGACGCAAAGAAACCACAAAGAACAAGCAGTAATAAAGCGAATACAAATCCATATTGGCCAACCACCAAATTCTCTCTACCTTGACAAGACATGAAGAATCCCTGGATGGCTCGAAAAAAAACGTTCGACGGCATAGACTGCAGGTCTGCGTACAGCACGGTTCGACTCTGCAGTGAAGTTCGATCAGTCGGAACCCGCGCCTGCCAGTGCAGATCTTGCAGGCTATGCTGATCAGGTCTTGAAAGTGTCGTGCGCAGTTTGAAGTGCGAGTGGGCACCTTAATTTTTGGAAGAAGAAAGAACGGGGCATTCGAGGTGAATCAATGGAGCGTAATGGAGCGTTCAGGAACATTCTGTATCAGACAAATATGTGACTTTAATGGGAGTTTGTTTCAAATCAAGCAGAACAATATCAAGCCTTCGGTGCTCGATGAAGCGATCGCACCAGATGGTGAAACCCCGCCGAATCTTGAACTTCTGGTCCTGCGGAGAGATGAAGTATCTCTAGCTTCAGGCACGTTACCCGCGGGTGCATAATGCTCTTGGACCGATCACAGTAGTGCTTGTAGTACTCGTCTTCACAAGGTATCCCATGTTCACGCAGAGGCCAGCCGATTATGACGCTCCAAGTAATCCCGTCCAGCGACCTTTGAACACTCGCATAGGATATGGGCAACCGACTCGCCTGCCTTCCTACACATTCGAGACAGGCGGCTTCCGCCCTGATTGAAGATTTGGGCCTTGAGCAGGTTAGTTGCCAAGGCCTGGTATTGTGTCGCGATGATCAGGCTCTCTGTGATCTTCTTGAGACCAGCCGTGATCTCCTTGAGAACAGACTTTGTCGGCCAACTCCAGGGTTTCTGCTTGGCGGACAAACTACCCATGCAAGTGTTTCTGGGTCCACGCCAAGATAGGTTCTTTTTGGAGCCGCACTTCACCACATGTGAGATGTCCGGTGGGGCAACCAGATGTTGCCACAGAAAGGGTACAGCAAGCTTCATGAGTTCAGCATCTGAATGAAGCACATAACGCTGCAAATTGCTTTTCTCCATGGGGACAACATCATGGATACTTTGCAAACCACGTCCACCCTCCTTGCGACTGACGTACTTACGGGCTATATCAGCGCGTGGATCAAGAGCTCCATGCATAGTCATAAGCTTGCGCGTTCTTCGGTCAGCAGATTGCAACTCGTCCTGCGTCCATGCCAAGATACCAGCACTTTACCATATCAAAGCTACAGGCCAGGTGTTGATGGCTGTGATGATGTTGTGACCGTTTAGAGCGGAAAGTAGTAGTCGTATGAGGCAGATGACCAACAGCAGTGGGGATATGGAGTCCCCTTGGAAAATCCCATGCTGAATGGCCGACGATCTCCAGTTGTTGGTGCCGTTCCAACGGTTAACCTTCCACTGAGCCATGCTAACAGTCATAGGTCTGCGTACGGATTCTTGTATGCCAAACATTTCCTTTATTAATATTAACTTGTTTTGAGGGAAAGAGACAAACGAGAAGACGTTGTATTTCTCGCCCGCCGAGCGCAGCGACATAGGCGAGAAATTATTTCTCGCGAAATATTTTCAGTTGCAAATATGCCATCCGGTGTGTTCTTTATTGTCGCTTCTTTTCCTGACTTCTTCAGTCAATTTTGAGTCTCACCAGTGTCCCTGCCATCCCACTCTTCATTTTTGTGCATATTATCATTGCTTTTTATCACTGTTTTCCATGATGTGCTTGCCATGCCTACATGATGGCTTATCGCCATTGGAGACCCGCTTTTTTCCCTCATAACTGCATCCGTCGGTGCGAGGGTTTTTTTCCCGACTGGCTCGGTCCAGGACAATTAATCTGACAGTCTCAAGTGGTTCTGCATCATGGCCTATTTCTGCTATCCACACGCCTATTCTATCCGAGACACTCTGTTCTCAGTCCTTGCGTCTGTAGTATCCCTGCCCGACCAATACGGAAGTAGTACGGAACTAATACGGAGCTTTGCCTGGTGTATATTTATTGTATCTCTGTATGTAAGCGTACGGCGTCTGCTGTATTAAAGCGCCTGCGCATTTCTGTTTTAATTAGATTAGATTAGATAGCAACGAAAGCTAACTCGAAGAAGAAGTAGTCAACCTCTAGGTAAGCACCGGAGAGAAAGTTATTTATTTTGCCGCTTCTTCTTTCACTAATAATTATATAGAATTAAGTAGAATAAAACTAATTCTTGTTGATTTCACCGCGCCTACCACTCGGCTACCAGTTACACTTCCATATGTCACTCGTTATCCGGTTCACACCTGGTTGTGGCCAACTACCCTTCACTTTGTGTGTTGTCGCTATGGCTGTCTATGTCTCTGTGTATGCCAGTATATGTGGAGCGATAACATATATGACATCAGACACCGGACTCTACATATATCATGACATCAGACACTGGACTCTACGACACAAGAACCAAATACAACAACGTGCGTAAATGATAGTCGAACGGAAATTCGCAACATTAGGGCTATCCCCGGAAGTCATGGTTCCACGCCGGCCATATTGAATGTCACACAGAGTGGATTTACCTACTGCATGAATCTCGCCTCTCATCTACGGTTCTGTTCCATGCTACTTGACATAACCAAAGGATCGCACGACCAAAAGTAGGGAGTTTAGGTGGTTTTACTTGGGAGAGATTTAAGTACAAAGGTCTGTTTTATCTGAAAGACCAACATATTACAAGACTGCAGAGAAAATTTCAGGTCAAAATTCCAAGGGATACCAAAGTTATGGTCTTTTGAAGTTCCGTGCTATTCACACTATACGTGCATAGTCTTTACATTGAGGATATGGCACATGCACTGTTTTCGGCCGTCCATAGCAACCAGCATGGCAACGGGAAAAAAAGCTCAGATTGCTTAGATTTTCTAGTTGCTTGATTGCCCCCCTCCACAAAACCTAGGGTTACCGTCAAAATTCAAATTTAACGGCCAAATTTTAAATATGGGCCTTAGCAACCACCATAGCAACCAAGCGATTAATGCAAGAAGTCCACTAGAAAGCAACATACTTGGAGTACTAAAGACCACAGATCGACAAATAGTAATACAGCAACGGGACAACAGTGCCAACACATGCTGCAGGCTACAAAGCACTTCAGTTCACCAATGCATGGCAGTGCAACCAAAAATTCTACAAGAGAGAGAGAGAGCGAGTATGCGCCGGCCATCAACATTGACAGGAAAACGCAAAGCAACATGGTCCAATTCAACACCAGCAAAAAGCACAGTGGAACAAGTAGGGTGTCAAAGTGAAGACCTGGGCTTGCTGGGAACAGGGCACTCAGCGGAAGCAAAGAAAACTAAAGCAATATTAAATAGACCAATGATATTCACAATCACCGCACGCATGACTAAAAGGCGGAGTCGCACAACATGAGCATTGTGTAGGCGCACCAAGATCATCGTCATAATCAACACACACACACACACACACACACACACACACACACACACACACACACACACACACACACACACACACACACACACACACACACACTTGTACTTGTACTTGCTCACTGCCAAAACTGGTCACGTGGGTCTCCCCGGGAGAGGGGAGAGAGACTCAAAAGGAATCTTGGAAAGATGACTCAATTGGCCATTGAACCACCCAACGGCCGACACCCCCTGAAATCCCCAAACTAGGGTGGACTTGAAATGATCCCACTTATGGGCTCACCACACCTCAGTAAGTGGGTGAGGACAAGGTGCAGAAAAAGGATTGACGGCATCAGGGTATCCGTCCCGGGATCCAACTGCAGGCACACACACACACACACACACACACACAGAAGAATAAATAATTGTTATTGACTGTACAAATGTATAAACAGACGGAGTAGGCAGGTTCCTTCAACAGCAGGTCACTGGTTGGCAGTGGACGAGCTCGCTTCAGTGGCACTGCCTCCAGGTGTGGTGCTTTCACCTATCAGCTTCTTCAGGTTACTGACGAGTGTTGGAATCGGCAGGACACGGCCACCACTACTCAGGTAGAACAGCTCTTTCGCCGAATTCTGCCCAATAACAAACTTCCGGAACTGGAGCTGGGCCCGCAAGGCATCCCTCTGGCGAGTGACTGATGTCAACTTGGCCAGTTCCTCCTCGATGTTGGTCGTGCCTGTCCACAGCGTGTATGGCTCAATGGCCTTCGTCAATTGTTCCTGGCGAGCAATGTCAGCCTGGCGCTTAGCCTCCTTCTCCTTCTGTTTGCGCTTCAGCTCCGCCAGACGATGTTGCTGGATGGCTAGCCTTCTGTCCTTAAACTGCTGGCGAGCAGCTGGGGCAGTTGACCGAGCAACTTCCACTAGCCGGGCATGTTCAGATGGTGGCAGAGATCGGAGCCAATCGGTTGTTTCATTGTTGGCAAACATGATCATACCCTCCAATGCCACCGTTGCCGCATTCGGTTTCTCACGTTTCAGGCGATCCAGCTGGGCGAAATCTCGCTCGCTAATGGCATTAGTCTTCTGTACCGAAGCAGTTTCAGTGGCAAGTGTTGGCGCATGATGGTACTTCCCACCCGGTAGATGATCCGCCAGTAGTCGTGTTGTGAATGCTGCCAGGGTAGAACACAGGTACGCTAGAATCTCCAGAGTGAGGGCATCAGAAACCTCCGATGGCTCGACAAGCGCGGTGTAGACATCACAGACGACGGACACTTTGGCGTCGGAGAATGGCCGAGCACTGCCATCTAACAGGTTGCTTGCGTCAGTAGACCACTTCAGGAGATTGCTGTTCAGCTCAGTGTAGTACTTGCTGACCTCGAGAATTGACACCTTCGGGTCTTCCAGCAGGCACCACAACGGACCAATGACCAGCTTCGACAGCAGACCAAGCGCTCTAGCACCAGCCACAAACTCTGCCACACCCAAATCAGCCTTCACGGCACGTAACAACTGGTTATCCCTCACAGTTACCTCCGTGAGAAAATGCAACATTTTTTCATGGAGGTAATACACACCAGCACCATTCCTGAACACCACATATGACCTGTTTCCTCTATACTCCTCCAGGGGCAATTTGGTGTTGGTTTCTGACAGAAACGCGTGAAAGTCAGCCACACAACCAGCAGCCTCATCGCCATGCCTTTCAAATGCCTTCGAAGCTGAATAGATGAGCCGTGCAACGCCACCATTCCCTTGCCACGTGCCATGGAGAAGTTCAGCACCAACTCGGACATCTTTCCCAAAGTGTGCAACCTCCCACAATTTCAGAGCAGCTGTGCAGCTATCGGCCAAGCCAACAATATAGTGCATACCACAATAAAAATTGTTGACCCTTCCCATGGTAGCCTGCTCATCTTCACTGAGTTCTTCCCAACCATCCACAACATCAGGCAAGATGTCCTTGCGGTATTCCTCCAATAGAACATTGTATGACTTCTGAACTACGCACCTGTCACTCATTGTATTCTTCATGTTCTTTACAATGTGCTTTGCTACATCGGTCTGGCCTGAAGCAGATGCTACACTGTCAATGTCACCCAGAACTTGCTTGAACATTTCAAACACATGCTTGGCTGTACCATTTTTCATTTCAACCATACCCAGGCTGTATGCTTTTTCATTGGTTGCCAGCTGGAAGCTCTGAAAGCTGGTACCCTGCTTCGACGTGCCATCACTGTGGCTGGTTGTGAACTGAGCATCAGAAGCGGTACTAGCTACATGCAACTGTGAAATTTGCCGTAACTCTACCAACATCTTGGAGGCAGTAGCTGCAGATGGAACTTCCGAAATTCCCACATTTGCTAAGCGCAAAACTGAACGTATCACAGACCCAAGATTCCACACACCCACGTTCTTTGCAAGGAGGTCATAGCAGCACTGACGCACCTCTGGTGTGTATTCACCATCCACCTTCGCTGTAATGTGCTGGCACTGCTGCATGGACCGTTCCACATCTAACTCAGCCTGTAATGCACTCACTGTTCTCTTTAGTTCCTTCTCCCTTTGCCCACAAGCAAGAAGCTCTTCTGTCACGTCACTCACGGCAGAACTTGTGCTGGAGCTCTTAGATTTCTCGTATGAAACTCTGCAGTACACATTGTTGAGCTTACGCCTGAGGGTTTCGACTGTTTCTAATGCACTGCCCAACTGCTCTTCCAAATCTTCCTTGCTCTCCTCCTCCTCCTCCACTCTTTCACCAAGCCTGGCCAACTGTTCATCATACTTGATCAACTGGTCATCTCGGCGGCGTAATTTCTTCCCAAGATTCCGAATTTTGCTTTGTGAAGCATGCAACCTATCCTGCAACTGCAAGGTAACTGAGTCTTCAGTTTGCATTGCATCCACTGCATGTCCTTCACCCTGTGCTTCAGAACATATCTCACTGCCACTGGTATTTCGGTCAACATCACCCATTCCATCTTCACTACTAGTAGTACCACCACTACACGCATGCACAGATGTAGTGCCAGAATAATGCTCTGGTCGTGTTTGGCTTTGACTTTTTTGAGGGTATGCAAATTCCTCACTGCAGAGTGTGGACAGAGACTTGTGATCGGATGCTTTGAGCAGCTTGGTTCTGGCTGCCTGAAGCCGTCTCACCTTGGCAGTGAGGGCGTTCGCAGTACAGGACAGCAACGTTTCCTCGACCGTTGAGAGCCAGGTATGGAGGGCTGACCACGGCAGTTTCTTGCTGGTCATGAACGCTGCAAGCTCAAGTACCAAGCCATTGGACACGGGTGTATTTTTGTCACCCCTCAGCCTTTTGGAGCGACGACGGCCTCCATCGAACTCACTTGTAGCAGCGTCCAACAGCAGTTGCGTCGTAAGGCCAGCTTCTCGGCAGTACTCGCCAGGGAAATCCTCCATTACGGCAATACACCTATGCAGACGAACAATGCAAATTTCAAATTTTTGAATTTTTGTACACAGGTAGATACGAAAGAAGAAATTGCAAAACTGCTCAAATCGGCTACACACTACGCTACCCAAGTGAACGTACCTTCATGAAGTCGACGACGTAGAAGACGATGGCCACAGTTTACAAGGCGTACACCACAGCTAACTGCTTCAAACAGGAGAATATCATGCAACGTAAAACTGAACCACACCACCACTCTGAAACGAAATGGGCTACGGAAACAGGACTTGGACTGTGAAGAAGCTGTCGAACAGCTGCACGCGAACGCGTTGAACTGAGCACTGCCATTTTACGCAGGAAGGTGCATGCGCTGAGCAATCACGCGTGGCTTGACGTGTGCCATCACGCAATACGAAAATACGTGGAGTCGCGGTGTGGATGAATCACTGTCAAAAATCACGTGACTGAACACCCTACCAAAAGGTTGACACTTGCCACATCATGTCCACATTCCTTTTTAACAGCGAAAGTATGTTTAGCCCACCTTTCAAGGGCATTATTGATTAGTCACGAAGGAAACTGTCTGTTTATCTATTTCATTTCGAATTACATTGTCAATTCGCTCTAGATAATCGGTGAGATTATTCTTCTCAAAGTTTAATGATGGTGCCAGTCCTTCTTCTTTCCCTTCGTGGACCGTTCATGTATCGACTTTGCTGTTAGGACAATAAAGTGAGTAATAACTTCATGTTCTCCGTTAAGTCAAAATTTGAAATTGAGTAATAACTTCATGTATTGACAGTACTATTGTTTTGCAAGCGCACATAAGTGTTCTTGTTCTGTATTATGCAAGGGCATGTGATGTCTGTGGCAACTATTGATTGTGTGTCACTTCTTATGATAACAACAAATGATGAGGTCGCAGAAGGAGTTTTACAAACCACCAGTTCTCAAGTGGGAAAGGCCTTCGCATCTATGGCACTGTATTCTTTGCAATATTGCATCTCGACTCCGCCGTACCGCTGAGGTTTGCTGCAAGGCATACGTTGCGCTGTGTTCCGTTTTTACTGTATACACTGTTATGTCATGTTTCATATGCGTATGCTTTTCTGATATACGCTGTCATTTGCATGCTATAAATAGCTTGTGATATTAGTGTTAGTTTATTATATTCGATCAAGTGAATAATACTGTGGAAGAGAAAATAGTTGTCCTCGTGCCCTGTGCTTTTTCGTTCCTGACTTTTAGCGAATCAGAAGGGTTCACAACATTTTGCGACCACGCCAGGATTGAAACGCGCATGGCAGAGGCACTAGGTAAGTTGGAGGCCATCTTCATCGCCTATGTAATTCGGTTAGGATTCGAAGGCGAAAAGTTGTAGGAACATGACTGTAGAGCAGAGGCTCCGACAGTGCGAGGAGCGTGAGGAGCGCAGTGCCAGATGGCAAGAGGAGGCGCTCAGCACCGAGTTTGAAAAAAATCTCAAAGAGATTAACGAGAACTTCGCCAAGGCGTATGAGGGTGATGGTGAAGCCGCCAGTGCGAGTGCGATTGGAGGTACAGCGGAAGCTCACAGTCACAGACGTGGGCGTAAACCGTTGATGAAAACCCACTCATATGTTTTGGGACGCAGCCACTGGAGCGTTATTTTGGCCTGTTTGAGGACATCTGTTCCAAGAACGAGTTCGAAGAAAGCGAATGGCTGCTGCGATTGAGTATCGCGCTAGCGGGTAGCACAGTGGAGAGGATCTATATTTGCTGCAATAACTACGAGGAAGCAAAGCAAGACTTGCTTGCCTCGCTCGGGAAGGCGCCAGACAAATTAAAGTGTGAAAGACGTTGCTGACAGGCAAGCAGCAGTCAGAGGAGTCTTTTCACTAATACGTTGTGCGTGTTTGTCGAGAGGTAGAGGTGTGGGCCACACTCGCTATGACGGAAGATAACGAGGTGGACACCAAGTATAACGCCAATACATTATTATTATTATTATTATTATTATTTGAATAAACGGCGAGGAGACAACAATTTGATAACCGCAATCAGTAATACAAGCGGGATTCACATTTGTGTGCACTTTATTCATTCAATGTAAAACTTTGGAGACAATGTGCAATAAAACGATGAAAATGTGAAAAAATGGTGTAGAGAAAATGAGGATTCAAACAAGTTTTCGTACAACACTCATCAAGAATCTTCGTTGTACTAAAGGACAATGGAAACAAAATTGAACTATTATAGAAAATTTTAGTTAGAGAAATAACACAAAGAACAACAGCAGTGAAGTTTACAAGTGTGAATTTTATCAATGAAAGCGAGAGTAATAACGAATGCGTGTACTAACACTAAACTTGCAACTGAAAAATGAACAAAGGAGAGAAGGGGGACAAAGTGATAACAAATAACAGCAGTACATTACACCTAGAAAATTAACGGCCAAGCTTGGCCGCACAAAACATGACACTTTACTTGAACAATTTCAACCCAATTATGCTATCCTTCTGTACACACAAACTAGGCTTATACAGACGCTGACAGATGGCTTCCAAAACTTTTAACTGTAGTCCATAACCATGACGACCACGGCATAATACAATGAAAGAAGAGTCGGAATACGAATTGCAACAATCAGAACTAGCCAACAGCTGATTGTACACTGAAGACTTGCTACCACGAAACCTACGCACAACACTAACATTCTCACCGGCACTCTCACAATCACTACAATCGTCGCTCTCCGACTCATTGCTCCCTTCGCGGTCCGTCCCATCATCCGCTTCTTCTCCGCTCTCTCTGTTATCCCGCCTGACTTGGTGAATTGAATGGGACTCGGCCGGCACCCTGCTGTCACGTCCCTCCTTGCGCCCTTGTCCGTTGAGTGCATAGCATCTGTTGTAATTGGCTGTTGATCGTCTTGGTCTTTCAATAGTGGGCTGAGATGGAAGATTAGTTGTGGTTCCTGTATATTGCATTGTTGGTGATGGCGTGGAAGCTGCTAATACGCAAGGTGGGTCATTTTGAGTTGGCAATTGTAGTGTTATTGCCATTGTCGATGTTGCTCGCGGTTTGTCACTGGCAAGCTCCACCGCCGCAAGAGCCGACGGCGGACGATCAGGAGATAGCAGTGGGACCGGGACCGCAAGCGGCACCACCCCACCCAAAGCCGCCGGGGCACTGACGAAGGAACCACCGACGGCAGGAGCAAAGGCGGCGACGCAAGCCGGCCCGATAGGTCACCACGCCCACCCTCCTCCACCACCGCCACCAGCGACGGCGGAGCAAGCACAGTCTGTGAACCAGGATCCACAAGTTGTGTAGGTAACGGTTGTTTTCTGGGTCGCCCTCGCTTCGGTCTTTGTTGTTGTGCGCAAGGTGGAAGTATGTGACGTGGTGTAGTAGTAGTAGTAGTAGTAGTATTTATTATTTTACTAGGGCAATCCCCACAGACTGTGAGTCTTTTTACAGGGTACCCTAGTGTGTGTTGTTTGATGCGTGCGTTTAGGTGCTGAACAGTCCTACCAACATACCGACTAGCGCATTGTCGATATTCAAAGTTGTAAATAAGATGACTAAGGTGAAGGTCTGGTAGGACATCCTTACGCACCGATAACGCACGCACCGTCGTTAAGACGGCCACAAAGTGTACTGCATAGTATGTTCGACGAACAGCAGACTTGATGGCACTACAAATTTTAGTCGACTCCTGTCCTTTCCAAGGCAAACATAAATAGACGGGACAACGAGCAGGACCAAACACAGGCCTTAGTAGTTTGTTCGACTTTCAACAACTTCTGCAACACCAGCTCAGGGTACCCGTTCTTAACGAAAACTGACCGGAGTAAGTCAAGCTCCTCCTGCAGCTTACAGGACGAACAAATACGCTTCGCACGATCTACAAGGTTACGCACTAAGTACAGGTTCCTGCACGAGTATGAGGGCAGTACCGCGGAATCCAGCCCGCGCCGCGATAGCGGCAAGGGTTGGATGAGCAGCGGTACTGACCGAGTATGAGTGACTGGAACGTGTTTCCCGTGTGCACCCAAGTCCCAAGCCAAGGAGATCACTCACAATCTTTGACGTTTGAGTTTACATGAACCATTCTGTGACTCGACTCGAGTCCTGTATGACTGCTGTGACTCTGTGTGAGCTGAGTGAGAGTGACTTCGACAACCGTACACGGACTACAATACATGACTTTTGCATGTATTTTCAGATCACAGAAGCTTGTCATTGAAATGGTAGACTCATGAGTGGATTTTGTCCACTGCCCGTCGTCAAGTGACGACGGGCAGTGGATTCTGTCCACTGCCCGTCGTCACTTGACGACGGGCAGTGGAACTAGTTCCATCACCATTCATCAGGCAGGATCGCGCTTTCCAGCCCGCGTAATTTGATCTGTCATTGGTCGACTCCAAGGCGACAGTCATGTGACATGCGGGAAGTTTACTTTATATTGAGACGAACAATAAGAGTCAAGTACAATGTACTGACTAGTAAACGTCGGCTTACGATAAACGGTTGTCAGAACGTCACTACTTGATTTTTCCACCAGCGCATCAAGAAATGACAACTTGTTGGACTGTTCATGCTCACATGTGAAACGAAGGGCAGGGTGAATACTATTTAACACATCAAGAAACTCGTTACTACGCTCCTCATTATCAAAATATGTGAATGAGTCGTCCACGAAACGTACATAAAGGTCAGGCCACAATGAATCATCAATTTTTGACTCACAGTAACCGACAAACACGTTCGCCAATACTGGACCAAGGGGTGAACCGATCGCGACACCATCGACTTGTTTGTACATCACATTGTTGAACGAAAACTCAACTCCAGTTGTGACCAGCAACAACAACAGTCTAAACGCACTTTCAGATATCCAAGGAGTGTCAATGTCATCGTTACGGTACAAAAATCCATGCAGATGGCAACACTTTCTTCAATAGGCACATTAGTAAATAAACTGACGACGTCAAAGGAACACATGTGTTGCAAACCACCAGTTCTCAAGTGGGAAACGCCTTCGCGCTTATGGCAATTGTATTCGTTGCAATGTTGTATTTCGACTCCGCCGTACCGCTGATGTTGCTGCATGGCATACGCTATATGAGCTGTGTGCGTTTTGCTGTATACGCTGTTATGTCCAGTTTTATATGCGTATGTTTTGCATGTACGCTGTTTTGCATGCTATAAATAGCTGGTGTTATTAGTGTTCATTGTTAATTATTCGATGAAGTGAAATATACTGTGTAAAGGAAAAGAGTTGTCCTCGTGCCGTGTGGTCGTACGATCCTGACAATTTAGAGAATCTTAGAGGGTTCACAACATTTGGCGACCACGCCAGGATAGGAACGAGCATGGCAGAGCTTCTACACAATTTGGAAGCCAGCTTTATCGCCAATGGAGTTCGGTTAGGATTAGAAGGCGAGTTGTTGGTGGAACATGTGGAGCAGAGGCTTGAACAGTACGA